TCCTGGATTCCAGTCTTATTTCTCTTATCTACTATCTTTTAAATATATTTTAGGTAGACAAGTCTGAGAAAAATGTGAACTACATGCCTGATTTTCATCTTTTTTTCATTGCATTCCCAGTTATCAAGAGAAAGAGCTTCATGCAAAAGTCACTAATATACTTGAGATCAATTTTAAACCTTTTCTTTGAGTCACAGTTCAGTCACTGTTTCCCTCTGGAGAAAAGAAATTCCATGGGGGATATCTGTCCCTTGGTTATAGCCTGTGAGTTAGTTTATTATAAAGAATTCAAAGACCTCAGTGTTTAATCACAACCTTTGGACAAAGAATGAGTGGGGAGATTTTCTTGTCAAAAGAAAAAAATTAAAATTTCTTTCTTTGCTGCTTCTTATGCCAGTAATGATTGTTTATATTCAAATGTTGATCTTCATGTAGATCCCTGAGTTTCCTCTTTATTCTGTGATTAACTTTATACATAAGTTACAATTGCTTTCTAATAGCTGCTAGGAATATTGATGTTTTTTTTCTTGGAGACAAAGTGAGGCTCTTGAATTGCAATGACAACCACCACCCAGAACAGTCAGACATCTCAAAGCTACTGAGAATGCTGGTTTAACTTAGTGCATGGAAGAGTCGTCCGCAGGTTGTTTGGGAAGCCAGGTCTCCCCTCTCAGCCTTTGTCACTTCGTCTATGAGCAGAAAGATTTGGGAGATATCACCTTAGACCCACTTCACCTTATTCTAAGCCTGGTTAAGCTGAGGATGACCAGAACTTGGCTCACTGGGTGTATTCATTGAGAAATCTGTTGTGTGGTGGTATTATGTAAGGGACCTTGCTTGCTCAAGGACCAGGATTCATAAGCTTGTTCCTTCCCAGCCTAATTTTCCCAAACCCAAACTTTTCCTTGAGTCACGGTGTATTCCAGCAAGGACAAACTTCATGTTGGGTTGGAGACAGTTTCAGTTTATTTGAAATCCATTGTTGAGCTCCTTCTTGCAAGACAAAGAGCACAGCATCTCTTCTGACCTCCAGCTAGGTAAAGTGACCAAGGTACAGAGTTTCTTAGCAGCCACCAGGTATTGGATAACCTTATTTCCCCCATAGATCCACAAGGGCACTTTGTACAGAGTGACTGCATTTGATGATTTTGGGAGTGGTGGACTTAATTAAATTGGTAATTTTTATCCAATGAAAGATATAGCATAAAATGGATGATTTTAAAAGTTCTTTAAGGTTTTGGATTCTGCAAGTTGCTGTTTTAGAATCACCAAGTAGGACCCATAATTGGATGGGAATTTGACTTCTTCACAGGTAAAGGGGTTTCCTCAGCAGAAGGAGCTGACAGAATGTACTGACGGTTACACCAGTAAATAGGCTCTTAACTCTAATGACTTCCCTAATTTGGACTGCACTGTAAATTACAAAGATCCCAGAATGAAAGCCTGATAGAATGGTTATGAGTCCTAGAATTCTCTACTTTTTCTGTTATTAATGTCAAGTAAGAGTTTTTTGTGAATATTCATTTTCTAGTTACAAAACTAAACAAATTAAAATAATATAAAATGTTAGACTTCAAAGGTATATGTAACTAGTATTTATTGACTAAATAAATGATTAATACATATATTATAAATTGTTTTACATTATTTACAATACTATACATATCATGAATTTGTGTTAAAATGTTTTTCAACAGGATTCTCTGACATCCAGCACACCTGAACTGAAGCCATGGTCAGTATAAATAATATGACTGAACTGATCATCACTGGCCTTTTCCAGGATCCAGAGGTTCAGAAGGTGTGCTTTGTACTGTTCCTTCCTGTATATGTGGCCACAGTGCTGGGCAATGGCCTCATTGTTGTGACAGTCGGCATCAGTAAGAGTCTGCATTCCCCCATGTACTTCTTCCTCAGCTCCTTGTCCCTGGTGGAGATCTGCTACTCTTCCACTGTTGTCCCTAAATTCCTCACTGACTTACTTGCTAAGATTAAAACCATCTCCCTGAAGGGCTGTCTGGCTCAGATATTCTTCTTCCATTTATTGGGGGTTGCTGAGATTCTTCTGCTTGTAGTGATGGCCTATGACCGCTATGTGGCCATCTGCAAACCTCTTCATTACATGAACATCATGAGTCGTCAAGTGTGTCACATGCTGGTGGCTGGTTCCTGGCTGGGGGGCCTCATTCACTCCATAATCCAGATCCTCATCACCATTCCATTGCCCTTCTGTGGTCCCAATGTGATTGATCACTACTTCTGTGACCTCCAGCCATTATTTAAGCTTGCCTGCACTGACACCTTTATGGAGGGGGTTGTTGTGATGGCCAACAGTGGTTTAATGTCTATAATCTCTCTCCTTATCTTGGTGACCTCGTATGTCATCATCCTAGTCAACTTGAGGAACCATTCAGCAGAGGGGAGGCGCAAGGCACTCTCTACCTGTGCCTCTCACATTACAGTGGTCATCTTGTTTTTTGGGCCTGCTACCTTCCTTTATCTGAGACCCTCCTCAACATTTACTGAAGACAAACTCGTGGCTGTGTTCTACACAGTCATCACTCCCATGCTGAACCCCATCATCTACACTCTTAGAAATGCAGAGGTGAAAAATGCCATGAAGAAGTTGTGGGGCAAAAAGAACTCAGAGACAGAGTGAAAGGAGCAATAAATGATGAGAAAGGATTTTGAAAATTAGTCTGTTGTTGATGTCGATTTTGCTGTTTGGTACATATTCCAATATAAAAGTAATAAGAAGAACGCAGTTCTACCTCTGTAGTAACTAGTACCCCTCGTAGTAACTAAATACTCTAAGGACAGGGTTCAGGTAGTCTCACTGATGTATTGAATCTGATTGGCTGCACAGTTTCCTGGGTTCTGCATAGTTCCTCATGAGTCTGAAAAATCTGAAGGCTCAAAGGAAGCGCAAATACAAAGAACATTTAGAAGCATGCTTGTATCTTTCTTCAAGACATGGTAATATTGGATAATATAGGGTAAAGTATATTTTAATACGTGCATATAATGTATAAAATAATTTTACAGTCATATGTTTATTATTGTCACAAGTTAGCATTTCCTTTAGTTGAGAAAATGAAGCATTCTTTCTAGTAGCTATTTTGAAATATTTACCACGTGTGGTTACGATTTTGTATTATAAAACGTTTGGAATTATTCTTCCTATTCATCTGCATGAAGGTACAAATTACTTCTACTTTTTCCTTTCGTTCCACCTGTTTGTTAATAACCTATATTTTATAGAAAAGGAATCTAACCAGAGGTATTATCAGGGGGTATGTGGTGCTGCAGTTATCAACCTGTCCTTTTCTACTGTGGATAAGCATGTTGTTGGGAAATGCACCTAGGGAATTTCTATTGTGGCTTTTGGATTCTTTTTTTTTTAATTTGAGAGGTTTATTAAAGCATCTTATCACAAAGATGGAAACATACAAATTAGAAGCATGCAACCACCATCTTCCATGGACAAGTCAGGCTTTTGGATTTTTGTATTGCAGACCACCTGATCTCAGCCACCAGAGAAGACAGTTTTAATTCTTGTGTTATACTGGCATCAAAGACTGTCTAGTGGGCTCTCTCACAATGTCTAACATTTGTAAATAAAAGTAATATCAAAATAACACAATTCTACCTATGTATTGAGAAATAAATAAAATGTTTTTACAAAAATGAAATGATTTTCAGCTTTATGAGATGTTAGAAGTATAGAATGTTAGAAATGCTTACTGTCTTATCTTGAAGAATGAAGGATAGGGTAATACTCTTTCTAATTCGCATCTAAGTCCCATTATTGTAAGTGAGCATGCCACAGCTATTCTAATGTCCATTGATTTTTTTTTCATTGAAGGGAAATAAAAGAGTCTATGTGAACAATCTATGTTGTTATAGCTCCTGGAATCTCTTCAATGATTCGTTGTCTCTCCCCATTGTGAAAAGTTCTGATTATATCTTATAATTGGTCCCTGTTGACTTAGGAGTTGTATGGGATTGCACTGATTTGCATCTATTCACCCAACTTTTCTCAAATATGTGACATGCCAGAGTGGGCTGTGGTTTCACCAAGTGTCTTTTGGGCTCTGAGATTATATGCAATAGTAATTTGTGGCTGCAGGACAAGGCATGAACAAATTTGTATGCTGATGAAAACATTGTCTGTTTTCATCACATGGCTACGGAGCATTCAAAATATGTATAGTGCCACTAAAACCTGGAATTTTTTTTTACATGGTTGTTAAACAGTTTAAATTTTATTGACCTCCCAGTTTTTTTAAAAAAAAATTAAAGGTCACACCTCTAGGTCAATGTACTATATACAGATGGTGCAGAATGAGTATGAAGAGATACAAATGAGTCATGCCCAAAAGATTGACTAGAGTACAGAGTCATCTTCATAAATACATATAAAATCCTTATGAAGACAGAAGGGACTGCCAGGTTTTCTGAGACACTTTCCAAAGTTATTCAAGGCACAAAATATACACCACTGTGAATATACACACTCTAGGCTTTGTGCCTCTGATACAGCCCAAAGATTTGGCTCCATGACTATTATAAAACTAAATATACTGAATGAGATTCTGTTTCTCAGGTGAAAAAGCCAGACCTATAAACATCAAGTAGATAATTACTCCAAAATATGGAGAATACAAATACAAGCACTTTATTTTAAAAAGCAAACACAAAAGATCGTGTAAATCCAAAAGTGTTAACTGCTTCCAAGCTTCCATTTTGGATCATTTAGTACCTATACAAGTTTGTTCCCAGGAGCTTATTATGCATCACTCATCTCTACTAAGGAAAATGATTCTAAAAATTAACATGGTTTGCAGTATTTAAAATCTCACTATTTATATAAAAGTCTAGAGAGACCAATAATATCCGATAGCTTCAAAAGATAAACTAAGATAAGACTCTTAGGTGTAATCAACTTTACCAATGTTTGTCCAGGTCTGTTTAACATATACACAAGGAAAATATACTCACTATAATTTCTTATAAAATAGCAAGTAGGGAGTAGATGTAGGAGATGTAGAAGGGGAAAGAGAATTCAAAAAGTCCTTCTCTTCTGTAACTTTTACTTCAGAGTCATCAAAGAGCAACCACTTCCCCTCATACTCCTTTAAGCTTTGCACTACATAGGAAATTTTGTTCTCAAATCCATTCATGTTAATGCCTGTTTGGTCACTGGATTCCTTGTTCCTGTCGGATT